CCAACCATCCAACTAAACCAACAAAAAAGAAGAAACCATGACAAGGAAATCCACAATAAGGACAATAAAATCGCAATGCTTATTCTTAGTGTTTTTTTTTTTTTGAGACAGGGCCTTACTCTATAGTCTCGGCTAGCCTCAAACTTCCTGTGCGTGTTCCTTCTCTCTTAGCCTCTTGAATGCTGGGATTATAGGTGCAAGCCTGTAAAACATTTTTACAAAGGCTAATGTTCTTAGCTGCAAAGAAGTACTAAACCAGGTTTCATATGTTTCATATCAATACTTATAAATGTGTGAAATGTCCTTATTTAATTTCTATCTTCATTGGCATCTTTTACTTCTTGAAGAGTCTGCTAAGAAAATGTGCACGGAACAATTAGACTTTTGAGTAAAAGAGAAAGTACAATCACAAGTCTTAGTATTGAATTCAACAAACACCTTTGAGCCTCCAAATAAATCATCCAATAGTTAAAACTATTAGAAGGAGATAAAGAGTATTAGCACATGAAGAATATCTTACTGGCTGAGATGCACAACTATAAGACACAATAAAGAAAAACGAGCCTGTTTTGCTTCTATCTTTAGGAAATCGAAGGCTGGCAATACCTGGTAGGTTCAGTTCTTCCAGTTCAATCACTGAGCGACTGCTGCTGTGATGGTCTTTGATCATCTGCCTTAAGTCTTCAGGGGTCCCTGGTTTGGGCTCTGACTTTGCAAGAACATCAGTAATTTTCTTCTAAGGCAAGAGAAGAAGAAAAAGAAGGAAGATAGATTTTAGAATGACGCTTAGCATTAGGCTCATTTCTCTTGCACTTAAACTACACAGGCTTTTGGTGATAGTCAAGTATAAATCAGCATTAAACAAGACACTTGAGAAGTCTTATTTACTACTTCTTAGACATAACTATTACTTTGAGAAAATGAACACATGATCTAAAAGACTTCTTTTAATATTCGGCCTATGTCTTTTAGGAGAACTGAAATCTTTGCATGCAACTCAATAATAGGGTATTTTCTGTTAAAAGTCAAGAAATCCTGTGGCTATGGAAACTTATCTTTTACCCTTAAATGGTCTGTGCTCTTGCAAAAGCAAAATTTTGAGAATTTCTTGTGTAACCTGGTTTTTAGGTGCTGAGTCTTCAATGGACTTCTGCAGAACTAATCTGAGCACAGGAGCTTACTGAACAGTGGACTGTACTACAGAGTCTCATGTTTTAGGAGACTATGTTAGAGGGCACTATGCAAAGTAAAACAGATATTATAGGAAATACTTTCTATCACCTGTTTTGGTTTGGACTCCTTTGGACAGCACTTTTATTGAATGTATGCAATTGCCTGGGAACACACAATTGTTCATTTCGTTTTCATCATAAATTTCCCTTCTCATTTCCTTGTAATGTTTCTCCAAAGATCCAGAAGGACCCATTCCTTCCCCTCCCACAAGCTCTTTCCCTCTTTTTACAATATCCTCATTTCTACAACAATGTCAAAATTATTCAAGCTTCTGTGAAAGGTATTAGCCTAAAATATGTCACCAGTGGGCATATTTTAGTGTGACCTCAGCCAAGGCTAAACTATCTAGATATAGTTCTGACCTTGAGTCATGAAAACTTAACACTCCTGAAGGCCATTAGTGAGCCAATTATCAAAGAGAAGTTAAAGTTACTTCTTTAAAGACTTGCCAAACCTCAGCCAATTTGGCATGCCCTACCTTCCTATTTGGCCATTTGTGAGAAAAGAAAACATATGTATGCACACTCTGCTTTCCAAAAGCTTGCTGTTAAATAACTGGTTTGAGTCCATCTTCTTTGCTCTAATCCCAAGCATATTTCCTCTGCTGACTTCAGCAGTAGATCATTCTTGGCAGGGAGAGAACTGCACTGCTGTTCTCACAACTGTGCTCAAAGGTGAAAGCTAATCATATTTTTTTCTAAGGCTGAGCCATAAAAAAAAAACCTGCATAGGAGCAACAGTCTTCCCTAGGCACAGAGACATATGTAATTGGAAGGGGAAGGTTTACCTTAAATTATGGTCTGAATTAGCGTTAGAAATACCTTATTCTACCCTTATCTGCTTACTATTTTCTTTTAGCTATTACTCTAGAATACAAGGTCTTAAAAACTGGAATGAATAAGAAAAGAAGGTTGGTAATTTCTTGGTTTTGGACAGAGGCAGAGGAGTGAGTGGCAAGAATAGCTCTGGGCTCCTTCCAGGATAAGGAGCCCAGGTATGATGCCTAGCCACAATGAAAACCTGGTCTGGGAAACAGAGATGTTTGGTATTCACAAGAGTTAAATGAGAGTCATAAAATTGTATTTTTAGTTCCAACAACACAACTTACTACTAGCGACCTTAGGAAGCTCAACAATCCTCGCAGAATCTTACAGTTTTCTGTATCTCTACGGTGGGGTTTACAACAGCTGCTCCACTTAAGCATGATACGTAGAAATGTCATGGAAGTTATATGTGGCCATACCATTCACCAACTGTTGTAACCAACTGTTGACATTATTACCTTTCTCCTCTTCTTGGCCTTGCGGGCATCCTCTTTTGTTTCCTTTGGTTGTATCAAGAAGCATTCTGTAGGCTATAATGAAATACAAATGAGAAAGCTTTCATCTTAGCATGATGAAGTGTCAATGAATGTTACGAATCCCAAAGCACTTTCTGCTATGCACATATTCCTCAGAGTACCTTAGTAACATTCTACAGAGATGCTGGAAGACCCACTGGAGCTATTATGTAGCAGCTGAGCTGACAGAATTTGAGAAAGTCAGAAAGAAGAAACAGATGACTTAAGACTGGAAAATCTTTGAACAAAGATCAAAATGTGTGAATGAGTATGTATGTGTGCTTGATGTGTGCAGAGTATTAGAGATGGGAGCCAGTGGCCAGTTTGTAAAATATAGGCAGAAATAAATGTGATTAAAATTGTGATGTAGTAAGACAGTCTTTGACTAGAGTAACAGGTTTTCCATGAACTGCCTGTGTATGAACCCACATTTCTAAGTCACTGTTTTATTATTTTGTATTATCCATTCCTTCCCTCTTTTCAACAAACACACACACACAAAAACAAAGTAGGATATATTTACTTACGTTTTTTACAAAACCAGCTGTACCAAGTTTTTTTTTTTTTTAATAGTAACTACAAAAATGAATGTTTCTGCTAATGGTCTGATAATACTCTCAAGCACTATAACATTGAGAGTGATTTATTTTGCCTGCTGCCTTGAACCCTGAGGACTCTGTAGAGCTTAGTGCTATTTTTAACCTGAGTTTTGTTTTTTAAGGTAGAAAAACAGGAAATTTGGACTAAGATCTTGAGAATGCTCCAGATTCCATATTTATTAATCATAAGCGGGAATATAAAATGTTTCCTGTGCTGGATTTTTTTATAAAACATTTTCAAGCAGGTTTGCCAAGTAAGATATAAAATGTAAGTAAAAAGCTGGATTCTGAGTTTTCTCTTAAGTTTCCATTCCAAGCAGAGACTATCTGTTTGAACTAGTAAGCTACTAGCTGGAGTAATTTTGTCTCTACCAGCTCTGTTCAAAATGACCACAGATGAATCTTTCTCTGAAAACCTGCAGAAAGCTTGCAGATTAGGAATGCCTATGGCCTCAACTCAAAGAGGGTACAGTGCTACATAATTTCTTCAAGACATTGGGTCAAGGACAAGCAGTTTCTAGACTTTGTTTCAGGTAGTAGAGTAGATGCAAAAAGTTTGAGAAACTTTAACTTCTTTGCAGTTTAAACAAAAAAACCTATAAAGACCAATTGTTTCATATCATAAGAAAATAAAGATATCAGGGCCTTTCTTATTTAGAAAGTTAAGCTGTCTTATAGATGTAGATACATGTCAATTTATTGTTGGTACATGTCAGTAAGAAACTGGGCCAAGGCCACTAATATGTCACAGAAGCTGCCAGATGGCCACAAGCATGCAATTATAGACCAGGCTAGGATTCAGCGCATGCTTCTAAGGCAAAGGTCTACATGCAATTAGTAGATCACTTAAAGCATATACCAGAGCCAGACATGGTGACTCAGGCCTATAATCTCAGCACTTGGGAGGCTGAGGCAGGAGGACTGCCATGAGCCTAGTACATAGTGAGTTCCAGAACAGCCTGGGCTGCAAAGTGAAACTGTGCCTCAAAACATCAGCAATACAACAGTAACAACAAAAACAACCCAACCCAACCCAACCCAAACCCCAAACTCTTAACCATTATGAAGGTTTGGGGGAAGCAGACTTAGAAACTTGCTCCATTTTCTTATTTAGCATATGAGTTTATTCTCTGGGAGAAGGGTCAATGTACTGGTTACACAATGTTAGCTTTACAAAGCTGATTAACTCAAACATGACAGAAATTAAATGTAAAAATGAGTTCACCTGTTAATGGTATAGACTCTTCAATTCTGGGGTTAAAAATGAAAATGTAAAACTGAAACATGCTTGAAGAATTGTTTTAAGTGAAGATACTGCATCAAGTTTAAAATTTAGTTTCAGTTTCTTAGATCACCCTAAAGGAGGTACAATGTATTTATTTTCTGGTACCAGTTTCCCTTGGCTACTTTGCAGCAGGGTGTTAATGAGGAAGCTACATTCATAGGGTTAGTTTCCACAAAGGTGAGACAGATTTTTGAAGAAATCCAAATCCTTTTCATCTAACAGGATCCATTGCAAATTTACTTTTGGAATTACCACTCCCCTCCCCCAGTCCCACCAAGCTCCATCTTCTACCCTGGAAACCAAGCAAACATCCTAGTACCGCTTCCTCTCCCCTGGTCCTTTCTTGTCAACACAATGGAGGGCTATACTCTGGATAGGTGAAGTCTGGCAAGGGAAAGAGCAGAACATGGGGCTTACCATTTCCACTGTTCCATGCTTACACTTTGTAGGTAGAGATTAATGACTTGTTCCTTTTCTCCTTTTATGAGATAGGATCTAGATGTATAGTACAGGCTGGCCTGAAACTCAAGATTTTCCTTCCTCAGCCTCCCAAGAGATAGGATTACAGGTGTGAACTACCACACCTGGCTACAGACTATTGAATTCTTATTTGGAAAATGGAATGGGCAAGAAAAATGGTCAGGAAAGTGACATTTGGGTATTTTAAAAATCCAGTTTGTTATCTTATCATCTTCCCCTCATGTTCACTAATCAAAAAGCCTCACTTCATATGCCAAATCTTCAATAAGAACAGACAGCCAAGGTTAATTAGACATGTAAATAAAGTTCTGATATGAGAGCAAACAAATAGCAAAAAAGATATACTGAAAAAGAGGTAACAAAGTAGTAAGGAAAGAACGATGAAAAGAAAAAGAATCCAAAAAACCTTCCAAGACTAAAGAAAACATTCTAGAACATGTGAGTCCATGGAAAGCTCATCAGAAATATGATACAATGAATAAAAAGAGTATTCTACACCATGGAGCATCAATGTGAAATTTAGGATAATTTTGGACAATGAAAAATTCTAAGAATTTACAAAAAAAATTAACAAAAGATAAAATTGAAGTTTGGGTTTGTGGTTTTAAAAAATATTTTATTATCTTTATTTAAGGTGTGAGTGTATTGCCTGCATGTATGTAAGTGTACACATGCCATGCAGTGCCAACCAAGGGCAGAAGAGAGTGTCAGATCCCCTGGAACTGGAGTTACAGACAGTTGTTAGCTGCCATATGGGTGCTGGGAACAGACACAAGTAATGAGGTCTTCCCATGTCGTACTAGACCTTGCTAACATATTTTTTAGTATTCCTTTAGCTACTAGATCTCAAAACCAGGTCCTCTGCATGAGCAGCCAGTGCTCTTCACCTCTAGGCCATCTCTCCAGCCTCTACATTTGTGTTTTAGCAAAGTTCCTTGCATTGTCCTCTCTTAATGGGTTATATGCAGGCCCACTGGTATGAGCCTGGAGTGCCAGTCTGGACAGCTGGTCTAGCTATAGGGGAACGATTTTGAGGCAGAACATGGAGAGTTCCTTGTGGTGAGAAACCACTTGGAGTCACAGAGGGGAGTGGAAGTCACTTCCCATTTAGGGGCCTCAAGTAGGGAAGCAAGCTATAAGGAGGTAGGGAGGGAATCAAGTGGTTGCAAGTGATTATGCTTATAGAAAGCTGGATCAGGAAGAGGAAACATTTCACAGTGCTACAGATCACTGCACCCCCATGGGGCATTTCTTCCTCTATGACCAGGCATTTGAAAGTCCTGACACAAAGACTAGTGGAAAGTTCATCCCACCCTGTCCTGGAGTGCAGGGCAACCCACAGTAATCACAGCCATCGCTCCCAAAAGATCACAGGTGGTAACCATAGAGAGAAAAAGAGGAAGATAAAAGCACAGACTGTCCTCTCACCAGGGGGCTTGCAGCTGAAGAGGCCACAGAAAGGAGGTACTTGGCAAAGACTGAGATCTATTATTGCTTCCCACATGATGGGCCACCTTGTACCTGTTGTTCCCTTTCCTGAGTAGGGTGGTGAATATTAAACAGTATAGACTTACTGGGGGCTACAACAAAATTACACAGACTATCAAGGATTTATAAAAGGTAAAGATTATTCCAGTCCAAAGTCCTTTCAACAGCCCAGTATGGCCCCCAAAGAAGCTAGATGGCTCCTGGAGAATGACTGAATTTCTAGAGAGTTCCTCACATCCATGCCCTGTGCCTAACATTAGTCTTTGGACAGAACAACAGATACAAGTAATGAGGTCTTCCCATGCTGTACTAGACTTTGCTAACATACTTTTTAGTATTCCCTTAGCTACTAGGTCTCAAAACCAATTCACATTCAAATGCAATGGTTATCAGTAGGCCTTTAGAGCACATTTCTAAGTTACCTTCACAGTCCCACTTCCTGTCATGGGACAATGGTCCAGGACATTGTTTTGTTATCCTGCCTGACTTCCATAAAATGATTCAATATCTAGATGTATAATGATAACCTCTGAGTATTTTACAGGTTTAGAGAAGCATCTAAAAAGCCAAGCATGTGCACCTAAAGGAATGAGGATGGGAGATGAATCCATGAAACAGGAACAGTTCTGAAATTCTTGAGAGTATTATGGACCAGTAAGACACTTATGCTACCTGAAAAAAAAAAAAAATCCCATAATAGCCTGTGTCCTGGCAGACCTGAAACTTACTATGTAGATGAGGCTGGCCTGGAACTTACAATGATCTGTCTACCTCTTCCTTCTGAGTACAGTGATTAAAGGCATGTACCACCATATCAGGCAATAGTTTGTGCCTTTAAATGTAAAAGAGCCGGTTTGCTGTTGTTTGAATGAGAAGTAGCCCCACATGCTCCAAGTATTTGAACGCTTGGTCAGTTGGTGGTGCTGTTTGTAGAGGTTTGAGAGGTGAGGACTTGCTGGAGGAAGCATGCCATTGGAGGCAGGCTTTGAGAGTTTATAGCTTGCCCCACTTTAAGCTTGCTCTCTGTTTCCTGTGCTGCTTGAAGATGGGAGTGCACAGATTTCTGCTCTGGCTGCCTCCTGCCACCATGCTTCCCCCATTATGGATTCTACTTCTGGAAGTATAAGCCAAACAAACTCTTCCTTCTATAAGTTGACTTGGTC